GTGGTTTAGAGCTTAGGGTACATAGGGTTTAGGGTTCAGTGTATTCAGGTTTAGGGTGTAAGTTCCCAGTATCTGGGAATATATAGCAAATACGCATAATGATTGAATTTCAATTCTGTAATGGCAACCCAGTTATTCTGTTGCTGCTGTGGTCGCTGCTCCTTTTGGTCGGTGCACGTTGCAAGCGTGACAATATGAACGCGATTAGTCATGTTACCCTGAAAAGGATTGGTCGCGCGTCGTACACTCGCTAGAATTTGTGCTTCTTCTTAAGTACTTCAAGGCCTGGGCTCTGGGTCTCAAGCTGGCCACACTCGAAGCCTCAACCCCTTAACCCTAGACCCGAAACCCTAAACCCCAAACTGTACAGTTACAGGGGTTGTCATTGCGTTACTTGCGCCCTGAAAATGGGGGAGCCATAAAAGGAACCCTTAATGCTTTCTAAATTCCCCCTAGGTGTCTAAATTCTCCCTAAGTGGAGTCCTTTTCCTGGGATATTATGGACCAGAACCAACCGTTCGAAATGGATTTTATAGGGCCCTTGAATATATCTCAATTTTAAGGTTTCCTCAAGTGGTGGATTCTGGGCTTGGGCTTCGGCCTGTTGATCTGCTTGAGCTCATGACCCTTGGCTGGCCCTCGATCCTAGACCTAGGCGCTTGAGCCCGAGACACGCTGAAGCCCCAAAACCTTTAAACCCAAACCGTAGATATCCATATAGGCATTCAGATATACATACATACATACATACATACATACATACATACATATTTATAACATGTACATATACATGTATACCTACATATATCCCTTCCATACATATATTAGATAAGGTGTGTATCTATCTATACATTTATATATGTATGTATGTATGTATGTATGTATGTATGTATGTATACACGTGTATTCACCATATATCTATGCCCCTACATACAACCCTTGAGCTCCAAAGCAGTGTGCCAGAGCCCTTGTGCCGAGGCAGGCAGAGCCGGCGAGACCTCATACCCAGCCTAAGGTCGGAACGGGAGGGGTTCTAGGGTTTAGGGTGTAGAGATTCTTGTTTAGGCCTTAGGGTTTAGGGGGTTTCGGGTTCAGGGGGTTTAGGGTTTAGGGTAAATCACTCTCCACCCCAGTCTCGTGCCCTATCAGGGGCTAGTGAGGGTGTTTTTCTGGAGGGGGGGCATGAAGCCTAATTTTAGTGGTAATTTCCCTAGATAGGGGGACCCCGATATACACCCCCACAAATAAACCTTGATATAGAGACCCTCAAAATGGTACCCCAGTTTTGGGAAACCTCCAAGTAGCTCCAGCAAGAGCTTGCCAGGAAAGTTGCGCCAAGTGATACAGTAACGAGGGAAATTCAATGGTGGTTTCCAGGGATTGGGCTCTTTTTGTCTTTTTGGAGGAGTCCCCATGATTAGTTATATATTGGTGTCTACATTCCCACATCCTAGAGTCCTGCAGAGTTGCCATTCTAGATAATGCTCGTGTTTCGTGATCTGCATACAGCTTCCAACATCGTGCCTCCCTGGAGTCATACGACATTCGAGGACTCAGGGCGTTTGAAAGCCCACTTGGCATCTAGGAACAGGCTGCTGTAGTTTCCATGCACAAAGGTGCAGGACTACGGTGCCTTCGTGCGATTGGGGGACGGCTCGAGATACAAGGCAGCAAAGCATTGCCATCCGTTGTTGTCCTGCTGCCTGAGCAGGGCGGGACTGCATCACCACTCGATCTGTAACATGTGGGTGGCTCTCTGAGTTGTTTCTTGGGCACCTTACACTGTACGACGCGCAATAATTTGCAGTGCCAGAATCCCAAAACATTACATATCCGCAGCATTCCGAAGCAAATTTCGGCTTGGCGTAGGAAGGGTGGTTGTGAGCTGACAGGCATGGCTCTGATTCCGCCCAAAGCGTGGCTCGGTACATCCTCTGTGGGTCTTGAACAGCCTGCAGCTGGTGTGGCCCGTAACTGGGAAGCAAGCCTGTCCCTAAAGGTCCAAGGGCCCAAATAGTAGGGTTTTAGGGTTCAAATACCTTTAATATCATAGTATCTGGGCCCTAAAACCCCATTATTCGAGTCCCTGGACCCTTAGGGTGTGTGCTTGATGGTGAAGAGCGAGGGAAGAACTTGCTTTTCATTGGGCCTGTTGAACTTGACTCTGAGGCACATCAAAGAATGCCAACTCTCGCTCTGCATCGTTTGCTGGAGGCTTCTCGCTTCAACATCTCACTCCACTGATGGGGCTAGGATAGAAAGAGCTTAGTCAGGGGAGCATGCCACGTTGCTTACTGTGGTACCTTTACTAACACCGAGGTTGCAACGTGGGGCGTTTTGAGCAAGCGACGCTTGGACGCACTGTTTGAGTGGCTCTCGGTGCACGTTTGCCTTCTGCAGAAAAGCTGATATCTATACCAGTCTGCCATGGTCGGCATGGCTGAGGTAATTTTTTGTGTTAGGTACTGCATGAGCCATGCCCGGAAACACGGGTCCCAAGTATAGCCCTTCAAGCACTGGTTCTGAGAAACTGCACATTGAAACATCTTGACATGTATTTGCAGTGAGTAAGCGACTGAAGCGATTCGGCACTGCAGAACGCTGGCAGCTGCCTGCGCTTCCATATTGAAGTTATCGCGGACGGCAATGTTTGCACGAGGCCAGAGCGACAATCTTGCATATTTCAGAATCTGGCTGGTAATTGCGCGTTTTAGTCACTTCAGTCACTACTCAGTACTGCCATTTTTTGGTAGGGTTTTATGCAATTTGAATTCGTTTACGTGTCTCCACCGTACTTGAGCAGCAAAACGCAGTCCAGACAATTAGGTCCGGTGTGCTGGATAGGCGTAAAAGATTTTAGGCTCCTCTCTGTATGAGGATTTCCAAATTGTGAGGTCTTGTTGGGTGTGCCTAGAATAAGGATTACATGATTTTTGTGGTGCGTGTGCATACGCATTCATATCTAAGCACGCGTGGGTTGTTGTTTCAATAATCCCTAACCCGAACAATAGGGTTTCAGGGCCCAAATACTATAACATTGATGGTATTTGGGCCCTAAAACCCCATTATTTGGGTCATCGGACCCTTAGGGAATGTTTCGGATTGTTCGTGCACGTGAGCCCAGCATAGATCAACAAGGCAAGGCGCACCCTCGTTTTGGAAATACTTACTTGTGAATCTCCAGTGTTTAGTATATGATACATGGGTTTTATGGGGATAACATGGAAGTTATTATAGTAAATGATATATTTGGGCTATATGAGGATAATGCAAAAGGAAATGGAAACTACCATAGAGTATTTTACATGGGTTCTATTGGGATAATGGGAAGAAAGTGGAAACTAATATGTGTGAGGCAGCTCGGGACGGCTCAACTCGTTTGAATTACAGTGCCCGCCAAGACGATTACCAGCAGTAAGTGTTGACCGAAGTAATGATTTTATTTCGGACCTAGGGTTTTTAGGGCTTAGGGTTGGGGGTAGGGAATGAGGGGTTGGGGGTAAGATGACCATGTTCTCCCTGCCCTGTGACCTATCTCATTGCTCTGCTTCTGGAACCTGAAAAAAGTAGTATTTTTTGGGGGGATACTATGGTACCCTATATAGAGTAAGATTATATCCTCCTTTTGGGGTATGGTATTATATATAAGGAATATAATCTTACCGGGTTTAACCACCAAAAAAACGCTACTCAAAACAAGCTTTTTGGCTTCTCTGGGATTCCATGCTAGTTTGGAGTTAGGTTGTCCATCGCCGGGATCTCAAAGAGGCAGCCATGAATTTGGAAGCACCCCAGAACAGACGTGTCTTCCCTAGCAGCTGAGTAAGAAACCTGTATCTACCATATATATATATATATGAAAAACTTCACCCGAAGTTTGAAAAAATAAGTTGGGGCTAAACTCAGGAGCTAGGATCCCCATCAAGGCCCTACAGCTACCAAACTCTAAATGCTTTGGACCCTAAGCCCTGAACCCTAGACCCAAGATCTTGAGGAACCCCTCCCCCCTTTCTGAATGCTTCAGGGAAATCTGGAGCCGCCCGAGGAGATGGAGGTTGGGGGCAGTGGGGTTTGGGGGGTTTAGGGTTTAGGGTTTAGGATTTAGGGTTTAGGGTTTACGGTGCTGCCCCCACCCTATAACAATTGGATAATATCTGTAATGAAATCGCGTATGACCCTTGATATAGAGTGCTACAGGGTGGGGGCAGCACCCAAGGTTTTGGTTGGCTACAGGGCTCATTCAGGGGGATAGTGGAGTTTAATATTTCGGGTTGAGGATCTCTCATGCTGGGCGGGTGCTGCTTGTTCCCAAACTGATTTGGTGTATAGCAGGTCGAACCCATGAACACTAGGCGGAGGAGCCAGATGTTTTTAGCGATCCTTTGATGCCCCGGTTATTTGGAAGCTGCGGGTTGTCTTAACCCGGGAGTCACTTGGTGCCCGAAAGGATCCTGGCATTTGGTGCTGAATGCTGTCCAAAATAACATGGAAGCTGACATCCTTTTGAAGGGGGGAGGGCAGAGGACCCTTATCTTGTGTCATAGCTCTCAGAGCTTTTGACTCAAGCTTCTACTACAAAAATATCTAGCACTGTTTCCAAGTTACCGGAGAGCATTTTTACCATCCCCTTGACCGAAGTCCAGGGAGTTGCTCCGTGGGCAGCCTTCCAAGTCACCAGAATCCTGAGATGCTGAGGGCAGCCGACAGGGCCCCGAATTGTTAGCCAGAGCAAGCCAGCGCATACAGATATGCATGATGTAGGCGTCATGTAGGTTCATCTGTTGTAATACATACAAGTGCAAGTGTGTTGCTCTCTAGCTCCGGGAAATGGATGCTAATTGGAATCGCCAATTCGAACCTGAAACAGGAACCCAAGCCTTAAATGGAGTCTGTGAAAATGTTGTGACCGCGGACCTACAGTGATTAAGGCTCGTGGTAAAGGACTTGAAATGTCGAGACTTCAGTTTGACACATGCACTTACACACTCTCCCGTTCCCAGGTCATGATCGCGGCTCTTTCCAGTTCAGCCCCATGGAGAATGGCCTTGAAGCCCTGAAGCTTGATCATTGTTGATGTGGGGCTTCGTCAAAAGACCCGGTGACGAACAGTCAAGAAGAGACCTTGTGATCCCTCCGGCAATTCCTACTTGTCTGTCTTCGTGTTCTGAACGGGCAGCTCTCCAACATGTAGGTATTCGTGCTCTACTTCCCGCAAGAACGGTGGTGGTGACGTCATGATGATTTCGTTGTCATATGTTGCCATCACTGCGCAGTCATCATGCATGCGCATGCTAGGATCTTGTTAGAGGGAGCCCAGCAACACCCCCCAAAATTTGGCGAAACCATAAAATTAATTAGATGATCCAGGAAAGCTTTTACCACGAAGATCGTGGGTCTCAAGAACAAGCGCGGAAAGCTGGTGGATGAACTGGATTTGGCTCAGAAGAAGCTTGCCCTGAGCAAGGCTTCTGCCGAAGAGATGAGGCGATATCCCAGGGACTATACGGGTTCTATGGGGATTATATAGGGTTATATATAGTATATCGGGATTTTTTATAGGGATTATGTAGGGGTAATATGGGGATATATTGGGGTCTGGGGCCTATAGATAATTACCAATATTATGGTTCCATATTCCTTATGGTTTAGGGCTTAGGGATAACTACCAATATTTTGGTTCCATATTCCTTGTAGAATTATAGTATATGGTACCTCAAGTGGACCTCAAAATGAAATGGGTAATTGTTGAGGCCCCTGTAGTATGGGGCTTCCCAATTAGGGGTCCCGTTTAAAGGGGGTTGTATGGGTCTACATTAGGGTCCCTTTATTGTGGGAAACTACCATATCCTGGTTCCACTGGAATCTACCCAAACACTTGCATTCCCAGAGTACTCTCAGCATCGCCCGAAAGAGGATTCAACAATTTGAGATCCCCCATGAGGCGAGCTCTCGAAGAGGAGGTCGAGAGTGAACGCCAAGCCAAGGATCTGATTAGCAGGCAATTTCTTCAAGCCACGTCCAGCTATGAGAAGCTGAGCGATCTTCTGGAGTTTGAACAGATGAAATCATCGGAGCAGTACAAGGACTTGCAGGCAAGGCTGGACAAAGCCATCGTCGAGCATGGAAAGTCTCAATGTGCCGCCGAGGAGTTTCAGAAGAAGATTGCAAGCTTAGACAGGCAGAGTCGAAAGCTGCAGCAAGAGAACGATGAGTTGAAACTGATGCTGCAGAAGGCAGATACAGTCAACGATGCCTTGAAGAAGCAGATTGCAAAGCAAGACACTCTGATTGAAGAACTGCTGAGCCTGCAAGCTGTCTCTCACGCAGAGACCCGCCAGCTTCGCAAAGAGAATCTTGCGTTGAAGAAACGGCTGGAGATTGCAGAGAGGTCGCTTGCACTCTTGCTAGACCCAGCTGCTGAAGAGCGCGCTTGAATTGTAGACGAGAACCTCATGGCTCCGAGAGCTTCACCTTGCTGGGGTAGATCTTGGAATTTGAAAAAAAAGAACTGTAAGCACGGGGGTCCTGTAGATGAGAGAACCCTGTTTCAGATATGCCTTTTGAAGCTCCGTCTGGCGGCCAGTTACAGAGTTCAAGCAAAATGCATGCCTCGGGCTCTGCCCGTTGTTGTCTTCCAGGTTTGAATCGCTGACCTAGAGTGTCCATTAATTCAGTGCACGGTGTGCCGTTCATCTTGGGCAGACGTCCGCATTCTCATCATTAGCTGTGATGTTATTAGTTTTGGTCTGAGTGTGAGCATTCGTATGAGTATTAGTAGTGCCAGGCTTAGCATTAGCATGGCTATTGCGATAACTGCGCCCGGCTATGGCTAGCGGTTGCTTGAGAATAAGTTCAGGATGCTTTTGCGATGTCATCTGCTGCCTCACGGGCGGAACATGACTGCACGCGCTTCCCTCTTCTGAAGCAAGGCTTGTTTGTTGTTCCAGAGTTTAAACCGGAACTATGAGAGCTATAATCTAAATTCCTTACAGGGGATTATATAGGGGATAATATAGGGGACTACTATAGGGGATATTAAGGGGGATACTAGGAGTTTAGATTATAGCTCATGAGATTTGGGCAGTCCGCCTTCGGTGTGGAGACTTGGAGGCTCCACCGTAGCTAGGCAGAGTGTACATAAGTTGCAAATCTTTCCCGAGGGCACCTAAAGCCTTTTTGTTCCATTCCGGAAGCAGCCAGTGGCAGAAGAGTTGGAAAATGGCGCTAGATGAGCTATAGTCGAAACTCCTTAAAGGGGCGGCTATGTAGGGGATAATATTTGGGGGACAATTAGGTAAGTAAGGGGGATACGAGAAGTGTAGACTATAGCTCAGATGAGTCCACCTGCTGCATTGTGCTTATGGTGTCCGGCTAAGTTGTGTCAATTCATCCTGCCTGACCCTACGTAGCTTAAGATTTTCGGAATTATGGTTTTCTAGTAGACTACGAATGCTGGGTTTTTTGTCAGTAGCAAGAAGAGTCCTGCTACAGGATGGCCTGCTTCACATCTCTCGTCTTTCGGCGTCTGGCCGGGTTGACGCAGTGTCGGCTGCAGCCTCAGTCTTTAGTATCAAAACTGGGAAAGCCTCGAAGTGGCTCAAAGTGAGATCACAGCAAGCACTATCGTGTCGCTGAGATTCATTGCCGACCTTGCCTGAGCCACCCCAGGACGTGCTGGCGCAGGATGACGCCGTTTGGGTGAAGGCACGCAAATGTGGGACTCTCTGGAACATCCGCCACATGTGATGTTTGTCAGCAGAGGTCGTTGAAGTGAAAGAGGAAGAGGGAAAGTTTAGCAGCGCCCTGAGTCAATGACTTTCCCTGTGGCCGTGACAAAAACATGTGTAGATTAATCCTTTGTTTGCACAGGCGATCTGCCGCCACTACTATACTAGACTATACTGCAAAGATAACAATGACGCCAAACGATGGCGCAGCCACAACAGCTCTGAAGAAGAACGAAAGCAATTCCAGCAATCGGAGGATTAATACTTTTATAACAGCACCGATGAGCAAACGATGTGTAGCCAGCACAGCAGAATGGCGATACTCCTGATGTGTCAGGACATGTGTTTGAGTCTCTGCAAGTGACCAATTGAGCTTCATAGATGTTGCCAGCGGTTTTGAGACCCAGAGGGCCTGAATCTGGAGTATTGCCAGTATTGGGGTTTAGGGTTTATGCATGTATTGAAGTGCCGCGTCTCTGCCGTCTTGGCTTCCGCAGGTCTGGACATGAGGTTTGTGGGTCAGAAAGATGGTGAAGACCAAGACCCCAACAACGTGCAGGCCGTGCCTGCGACGTAAGTCTTGTTTAGTTATCCCTAGTCGCACTTCTCCTCCTCCTCCTCTTCCAGCTGCTTGTTGTAATGGCTTCTCTTTGTAGGTCAGACGCAGCCTGTGACAACTCAATTCAGAAGTGCCAACCAGCAGCATGTGCTCAGCATGTGCCTCATCCTGGCAAAGACAAGTGCTTGCCTTCCAGCAGCTCGAAGCTGCATTGAACCGGCACCAAGGCAGAACAAAAACGTCTCGGGCTTACAGCTCCCACGGATAGGACAGCGCGAGCAATCCTACTAGCACCATGAATTCCGGAGGGCTATCCTAAAGTTCGGGTAGTGTTTTTTTTTGGACGTCGCTGGTCGTTGTCCAACTGCTTGCCGACAGAGAACTGGCGCCGCTGTTGTAACGAAACCCTCGCCCTGAACTGAATCTTGCCTTCTTCTCCTTTCACCGGCTTCCAGGGGCAAGGGCTGGCACAGCAGCTGTACTCTCACCCTGAAGGTTGTAGGCCGACGGCCTGCCGCCACCCTGAAGATGGGCGCTAGCGATGGGTAGCGGGGTTCCAGGTCCCAAGCCAAGTCAGAAAGTCAATCACTATAACCTCCTGAGCTTGGGGAAACAGCACCCCCTGCCAAGATCAGAGTCCGGAGAAGGAATTGGCGGAGTTGCAGCATGTGTTCCCAGCGTCTATCATGCAAGCAACCTGAAACCATCACACAGAGCCAGTAAAGGAGGTATCATTGGCACTACCGTACCAGCGCCACCACCACCGCTACCACAACCGCTACCGTACCAGCGCCACCACTCTGCTAAACGTGAGACTCCCCATGCCAGAGCATGCACCCGGGCTTGAAAGAATCTTACGGGGGGCCAGTTGCATCCTCTCTATCCTCACATGGGCTATAGTCTACACTCCTGAAATGGGGATTATATAAGGGAGTGTTAGTGGAGTATTATCGGGGTTCTCAAGGGGAATACTGGGAGTTTAGACTATAGTTCGCGTATTTTCCAGAGTTTCAGAACCCCGGAGGTGGATGCGGGCCGTGGCAAAGGGCAGGGGAAAGCCCCCGATCCGATTCGTATTGGTGCCATCCAGGCCGGCGGCTTCTTTCTTATGGGTGGTTGTCCAAATTATGGTCCCTTTTTGGGTACCCTAAATATTAGGTGCCGTATTATAATAGGGATCCAACAAGTGACCATAATTTTGAGAACCACCCTATGTTGGTTAGCTGGGAATGAGGTAGAGTGAAACCAAGACGTTACTTGGATGCTCTTGAGGCCTCCCGCTGATGCAGGACCCACAATATCTGGGTCTCCGGATTCGTACTATGACTGTGTACAACAAAACCCACATCTATACAAGCCGGGGAAAACCCAGGGGGAGAAAAACCATGGCAGCGGTGAAGTGAAATGCAAGAGAGTATATCATGAAGGAATGGAAAAGAACATGGAAACTAATATAATTAATGGGTTATACAGGGACCCCGGGACTACTATAAGGATTCCTTCGTTCCTAGCTAATTAAAGGTAAGATTTTGGAGCCAAAGGATTTGTTTAAAGGTGTATAGTCAGGGTATGTCGGGTGTAGGTTGTAGGGATTCTCAACATGGGGTTAGCCTAAGAATGGGGTTAGCCTAAGAACCCCCAAAATATCACAGGACAGTCCTAGGATTCTAAGGAGTTTTTGGGGTCCGCCCTATGATTGCTGCGGGATCATTTGAGCACCCGTGGTGGTAAGATTTGTGCATTCTGGGCACATTGGCTCTGAAAGGCCACTACATGTTCGCGCTGTGGAGTGATGTCCTCAGCTCGCCTTCCGACCGCACGTTCTCGCCTTCAATGCGCGTCGCCTAGGCTCGAGGCCACGGTGCCAGAGAGCGCTGACCTGACGTTACGCTTAGCCAGCTATTGACCTCTCTTGGAACCCTGCAAATCTCCCGAAATGCCGAGGTGCTGGGCAGGAGGTGGCAAGCAATACGACCTCGTAGAGGAGCGGCTGCTGCCTCATGTCAAAACTGAAGCTGCAGATACAACATTTCGAACCGCAGCCTGTGCAGATGCCCTGTCAGGAGGCACCGGAGCCCTTGGCAAAGGTGGGCTGCGCTATGGAGCAACTCTGCCCAGTCTTGCACACAACTTGAAGACACGATCTTAAACAGGCAGGTGGAAAAGGGCTGGAAGACGCTGCTGAAGGACAGCTCCATTCCCATTTCTTGAGGTTTCTGCTGTTCCACTGAGTGTTGGTTTTTGGCAGGACATGATGCTGCAGTTGTCAAGAAGGCGCTGAAAGCCTATTTCAAGAGGACGGCGCTGCTATGAGCCTGGAAGAGAGCTCTTATCTTCTTCGAAGAACAATCAGGAAAGCTGCAGATTCCTCGTCCAGTTCCTCATCAAGCGATAAGAAGAAAAAAAAGAAGAAGGAGAAAAAGAAGGAAAAGAAGAAGAAAAAGAAGGCGCCTGCCAAACCTATATTCCAGGTGCTGGGCATAGACACAGCCATGAGCAAAGTCAACTATTGTCCAGGAAAAGGAGAAAAAGAAGAAGGAGAAAAAAGACAAGTCCGCCAAGGAGGAGAGGGCTCGGCTCAACTCAACTCAGGGGTCCCCTCAAGTCTGCGGCATCGCTTTTCACACAAACTGTCTTTGAGCTTTTCGAGCGTCCTCAGACTTCTGCATTGAAATAACATCTGTTCTGCAAGACTCTATCTCATAGTAAGTGTGTGATTGTAGGACATGATGCTTTCATTTTCATTATTCAAACCCCAATGAATACTGCAATATATCGTACAACAACTCTAGTCATCAACAGTACCCCAATGAGGAAGCACGTTAGGCCAAAGAACGGTGGCACTCCCCCCTTTCAATCCGACTTTGTCCTAGTACCATCAACACATCGGCAGTAACTTAAATGGAGTTACGTTATGGACTTATAGTCCCCCTTAAGTAGAATAGAATATGGCTTTGGGTGTATTAGAACAAGATCCCCATAGACCCAAGATTCTATCTACCTAAGGGGGACTATAAACCCTAAACCCTAAACCCTAAATAGTAGTTTCCATTTTCTTTTCCATTATCCCAATATAACCCCAATATAAACCACATATAACCCCTATATAACCCCCTATGTTATGGACTTAGATTCAACCGCCCCCTTTGGTTGTGGTACTCGTATTTGAAGACCAGGAGTGAGCGGCGCTGCGACAGAGCCGCCAAAGTCGTGAGCCTTCGCAGTTGGAAAAAAGTGTGTGGGTGGTTGTCAAAATTAAGGTCCATTTCTGGGTACCCTAAATATTAGGTGCCGTATTATAATAGGGATCCAAAAAAGGGACCATAATTTTGACAACCACTTACGTGAAGTCAAGGGACCAAGATTTGAAAGCTGTGACTTTGGACGATGCTGATGGAGTGATTGTATGGATCCCTTATCTCCGAAGTTCCGATTCAGAAGCTCGGACTTGAGGATACGAGGCTTTCATGGGTTTCCTCATTACCCCCCTCTATACTACCCCCCTAGGTTGCCCCTTAACATAACCTTAATTAGGCATAATAATCCCGCCAAGACTCCCAGGCAGCAGCTGGCTGTGTATCCTTCGCTCCACGTTTTGGCTCAGATCCATCATGCTGTAGCGGTGTAGCATGCGCAACGCCTTTCAGGGCAGCGGCAGAAGGCATGATCATCCCGATTCGTCGTCCTCTCAGTGCGTCACGAGTCTTGAGCAGTAGTCCATGGCTTGACTGCTGCATGCTCGTAATGACAGGTTGCTACTCCTGTGGCAAGCTCATCGGCAACAGGCACCGGTCCATTCCACAACTCATGCCCACCATGGCACTCAGCATCCGCATCCTATGTCAGCTAGAGAGCGAATTGAAATCTGGCATTGAAAAGGAGACTGCCAGTTGGAATGTCAGGTGGGAGAAGTACCTCCAGATGCTGCAGCGAAAGTCAGAAGAGCAAGAAATTCAAGACAGGGACGACCCCGAGAATCGATCCCGGCCGAAAACAGCTCCCGAGAAGGAGGCCCGCCTCAGTGCCCATCATCACAAACAGGGCTGTTTCAGAAAACTCCCCCGAAGTACCTCATAGGGATCCCCAGAATTCAAGTATAATCGTCATAAGGGTCCTTATTCAAGGGACGCTTCTGTGGACAAACGTGATGTTGGCAAGCTCAGCTTTTGGGCGGAAATTTCCAAAACTACGATAGGGCCCCCTTTCCCAAAAATCCACCCCAAATGTGCTCAAATCCAAAGTTACTCTAAAACCCCCAAGCTAACCCCCTAAAAAAACTTCTAAACCCTAACCTAATCCCTTTGACCCTGGACCCTGAATGCCCCGAGTTTACACGAGAGCCGGCAGGTGCTCGACGAGCTCGGCTTCACACGGTGATTTGCTTAACAATACAGCTGAGTAGTATTTTATTTGGGGGTATTATGGTACCCAATATGGGGGTTTCCCAAAA